AGGGTGGTTTATGTTATATAATTAATGCAAGCTAATTGAATTAATGTGATCTCTTTGTCTCTTGCCAGCACTTAGTGGCCTTTGGGGTAGGGGTGGGGCATTTCCTTCTTTTTATAAAGCTTTTCCACCCCCTCACCCACCCCTCCGAAAAAAAGCGCCTGCCCTGCTTTGGTGAACGTGGCAGTGCTGTCTCACAAACCGGATGCCAAGGGAATACTCCTCCGAAAAAAAGCGCCTGACCTGCTTTGGTGAAGGTGGCAGCGCTGTCTCACAAACCGGATGCCAAGGGAATACGAGCTTCTGCGGCAGGGCTAACTCTGAGTCTCCATTTGATTTGGGGGCCAGCCTGTAGATAAAGCAGTCATCCCTCCCTCAGCTAAAGATGACACAGAGAATCTATGTTAGAAAATGTTTTAAATGTAGGGCTCCAGAAATGAACAGGAAGGGACATAGAGCCTAATCAAGGGAGACGCCAAGTAGCAGAGCTGGTCGGCAAGGTCCTGTGAAGTAACGAGGCGGTCCAAATGGGGTCAAGACCAGCTAAGGAGGATGGAATTGTTTCTAGAGGTACATAAAGTTCTGTGGCAGAGCTTGAAAAAGGAAACGGGAAACTGCACCGACGTACTTTGCTTTAAATATGCACAAACCTCGTCTGAAATAATCTTTTAATGAAAAACACTGAAATTGGGGAAATGCAGAGGGATGGTTATGTTATAAAGACCAGGGCGGATGGCCATCATTTGGAGGGAAGAGCCTGGTGCCAGTGCTGGTTGTGGATTGAACCGCGACCAGGCACTTGGCAATTCCTGGCATTTCACCTGGCAATTCCTGGCATTTCAGTCCTTCTGTGTCATTAAGTGGCCAAAGATCTGTCTCCCTCTTTTCACTGTGGGTGTTAATTTTGTCTTTATTTTATTCCAAGGTAATGCTATGTTAAGATTTATGCTAGAATAGATCCCTTCTGAAGTGTGTCCAGAACTGCAAAAGCTGAGGTATTTAGTTGGCTTAAAGGTACACAAACCCCATGTTTTTAAGGCTCTGGAAGGGGACTCGGTGTCTTGTTTTCTCCCAACTCCTTGTGTGGCCTCAGTCAAATCTCGGGTTTCCTGAAGCCCCAGTACCTAGACCGTAAGACGGACATGAAAATGATCAAGGTAGATAGAAAGGGAGGAAATTGTCTTTTAATACTGAAGAACGTGTTTGGATTTTTAGGCCCTAATAAGGTGTTGTTAAAGCTGGTGCTGAGGAGCCAGCAGCAATGGTTAGAATTACTTCAGACATCTCTGGTCAGGCAGGGTCAGATCAACATCTTGCAATAAGGTGAAAAGAAGAGGCTGTTTTGTTAAACTTGCTCCTGAAAAAGAAAGTTCCCTCTTCAATTTTCGGGGCCGGGAAGGCAGCGGTAGCAGGGTACCTCAGCTGCAGCCACTGCAGCTCAGCAGGCTGGTTCTGGTTTTGTCCTCTAGCTTTCAAGGCAGCCGTCTTGATCCAACGGTGGTATCGGCGCTACATTGCTCGGCTGGAAATGCGCCGACGTTGCACCTGGAGAATCTTTCAGTCCATTGAGTATGCTTGCGAGCAGGATCAGATCAAGGTAAGGTGCCAAGGAAAAGAGTATGTAGGAAAATACATAGGAGGGCGGTTTCTGTACCACAGGCTCAATCGTTTCTGGCTCCTGGCTGGTAACCCTGCAAGTGCTTCCGTGGGCCAAGGACTGGGTTTCCTGCCCCTTTTTAGCCTACTGATTTCCTGCCAGCTTATCTCTGATGAAACCCTAAGTAATGAGTCTTGAAAGAAAGCCATAAGGACCTTTTGAACATTGTTTTTCCTGAGCCTGAACACAATAGGCAAGCCTAGTTGGTTGGTTATACTTTAACTTTGATTAATATTCTCTTATATGGTTACCTTGCTGTCAGGTGGGGAGAGGGAGGGCTTATAGGTGTACTTCCGCCTGCAGGGCTGAAAGTAAAGCTACTCTTTTGACTGCATCACAAGATAATTCAAAACTTGAATCGGTATAGTGTGATTTGTTGTACATACCAGACAACATGAGAAGGGCATACATAATACTTCCAGAAAGAATGTCACGCTACGTTGCCACTCTTCAGAATTTCATTCCAGATGTGAATGATGATGGGCTCGCTCTCTTTTTGCAGCTTCACAACTTTTTCAGTTACCTCATGGACCACTTCACGCCAAGCAGCAGCAAAGAGAGTAAGTTTCTATGTGCCATTTGTAGATGTGGCACCAGCAGCTCAGCAGGTTGCGCCCTGTATTGATTTGTTGCCCTATGCTGGCCCCTCAGGGTGGCAAGGGGGGGGCAAGAGAGTCTAACGAGCGATGGCATCAGGAATTTGGATAGGGAGTGAATTGTCAGAGCTGTGCGAGGGATGTGGGGCAATTCCTGCTCCTTAGAAGCTGAAAGGGGGAATAAAAGCTCAGTATGTTTTCTAAGAGCAGTATTAAAATCAGCCTTTTTTTTTTCAGTGATCCCTGGTAACCAGGGCTTTGCAGAGTCCCCTTCTGAAGTGAGAGAGTCCAAGAATTCAATTAGCCATGGCAACCAATGTTGCCAACTAACGTAGCTGCCAGCACTGCCTGACACGTATAGCACAAGGAAACTTGTCCCTGCAGCCTTTTCCCCGCTACAAATTCTGTGGCAGTGTCAAAATAGGAGCTAGCCTCTGCCGCTGCCATTGCTCGTGAGCTCTAGCCTAACCAAACAGCTTTTCCTTAGCAGATTACTACAATGGAGTATTGAGCCAACTTCACTTTTTCTTGTCTCTTTCTCTTTTTAAAAAAACAAACAACCAAACCAACCAATCTGCCATCCAGGGGATTTCATCAGTCGCATGTTCGTAAGCGGGGAAAGCTTCAAAGAGGCAGAGCTGGAAAAATACTGTGACTATGAATCCATGGAGGTGCCAGACTCCTACACTGGACCCCATCTCTCTTTCCCACTCCTTCCTGACCATGCGACTGCCTTGCTGGAAGCTTTCAAACAGAAACAAGTAAGGATCCCAAAAGGAACCCCGTTCTCCCCTTCCCTACGCAGGGGTGTAGGACAGATAATTTGCTTTTAGCCTTCCTAACAAGCTAAGCTGATTGGAGTATAACAAGCTGGCAGGCTGTTAAGCAAAGCGGATGGAAATGATATGGTATTTCCCCCTGCCATGGGGACTTTTTTCCTTTCTGAAAATGCAGTTCTCACAATACTTGAAACTTTTTGTAGGTGTGTGCCATTGTTAACCTGAATTTCATTTTAAAAGGAAAAAACCCCACAACAGTCCATGTTGAAACATTCTGTCATTTTTTTGTTGCAATTCCTGAATTTTTAAAAAAGTATAGGATGGCCCAGATGGCAACAGCTGATTAAAGTTATGTTTTGTGCCATGCAACTTTTGCTCATATTTAAAATCTAAAATTTTGTTTTTTTTGATGAGGAAGTCTGGTACCAATTCAGCAGCACTAACAAGACAAGTCCTCATACAATTGCAGTGTTCTGCTGCCATCCTTCAGTCGAGGTGCTGAGCTGCAAAATAGGCCAAAGCATCCCTTCTCCAAACAAAATGACTTCTAAAATAAAGGTCTCCAATGTCTTGACTAATATTAAATGCCTACACCCTGGCTTTGAGCAAACATAGTTCTGCAGGACGCACGGCAGCTCACAGCCTGGTTTGATGTGGAAAAGGCTATGAAAGATCCAGAGGAGCCGCTTCTTACCTGTGATACCGGGCTGTAGGAGGTGGTGTTGCGTAGCGGATTAGAGCCTTGACCATGGGGTGCCAGGACTTAAGGGTTCTCTTGCCAGCCCTGCCAGCGCCGAGCCTGGGCTGCTTTGGGCGAGTCTCTTCTGTCCTGCTGTTGTCCAGTATTTGCCTCATCTTGTTTGTAAGCCCGCAGGTCAGCACTGAGCGTTGTCCCACTGAGTTCCTGCCATCCAGGCTATCGCGGCGGGCCCTTGGGTCCTTTGCAGACAAGAGCTGCGCTGCTGCACAGAGGTCACTGATTTCCCGCTTTAATCCCTTCGCTTTCTCCTAGTAGCAGCTCCACGCTCGCTATGTCTTAAACCTTCTGCATGAGACCAGGAAGCACCTCAAACAGTTGCCAAACATCAGTCACATCTCCACCTGCTATAGCGAGGAGGTCACCGTGTGCGGTACGTCTGGAAGGGAAGGTGGTTTGTCTATTTGGAGTCTGCGTTAGGCTTCCATGAGAGATTTTGGAATACATCATTAACAAAGCCTACCCCTAGATGGTAGCGTTCAGCTTGGCGTAGCCTGTGTAGCAGTGGTGCTGTCACAGGGATTATAAAAATGCAAGGAGAGGAGGAGGTATGAAGGGAAAAGATAAGGATATACATTTGTCTAAGGGAAGACGGTGATAATGATGGCCTGTGGCTTTAAAAATTGTTGCTTTAAAAATTGTTATACATAACAGCAAAGATTTAAAGAATTTTTCAACTGGATTCAAATTTGTTCTGTCACTGCAAACTTGGAGTCCTTTTAGTAAACCACAGAAGCCACACTCAGTTGAGGACTGGCCTCAAAATTCAGTCATTTTCTGTCCTGTTCTGTGGCCTGGGTTTATTTAAACAACAAAGTCCTGGAGCTGTTTTCTCCAAGCGTTCAGTAACGGCAGCGTACGCATTCAGATCCAGAATACTAATCCATCTTTGTGTCTTATCAAGTAAATTTGAAAGAGACAAAGCTTTTCACCATTATTTTCCTACTCTAGGACTGATGTTTAAACTTTGAGATATTTCTGAAAAATATGTACTTAGGACAGGCTTTTGTGTGCAGTCAGCTTCTGCAAAACAAACCTCTCTCTCCAATATCATGTTAAACGAGAATTTAGTTTGATGATTATTTTGCATGCAAAGCTTTCTCCCATGTAATGATCAAAGTCAAATAGTTTCTTGTGCCATGTTGTGCCATCATAAGAGATAAATGAACATAGCTTCTGAATCAGAGTCTTCAGGAGCCGGTGTAGGTTTTTTGCTGTCCTTCTCAGGCTTCAGCTCAAGCTTTTACGTCATGTCCTCTTCCTTCAGGCACATTGCCTCAGTGTAAGGCAGCTTGTACCTTGAAGTTCTCAAAATATTTCAGTGGTCATTAATTTATAAAGGACATACTTGATAGGAAGATTTTTACTGGTGTCTTTTTAAGTTAAAGGTAAACATACTGTGACTTGTCTTTTTGTGCCTGTTAGGAGACTTGCACGGCCAGCTGGATGACTTGTTCCTCATATTTTATAAGGTAGGCACCGTATTTGGAGAGGGAGGCTGGCCTGGCATTGCGAGAGGTATCGCATGGGTCCTGCTGAGAAACATTTGCAAAATTGGGCCCTTCACGTGCAGTTCTCCAGGTCAATTTGATCAGTTTTAAATGGCTTCACAAAGCAGCAGCTTATTCCCTTGCTGACTTTGAAATCTGATATACGTGTATATTTGGGAAGTGCCAGTGGCCATTTTTGTAAGTGCTGATACCGCTGGCAACCCTTCCTGACTGCCAGCTTTCACTTTCCGGTGCATTTGCCATTGGGAGCCTAGAGGATAAAAATAGGAGTCAGCATCTATTGTGTAAGGTAACCTGGGAGAGGAGTGACAGAATGGGCAGCCTGGGGGGGGGGGGGGGGAGTATATGTAGATGATAGGGAGGCCTCTCTTGTAACATCCGCCTATTCCTTGCTTCTACAGAATGGCCTTCCTTCCCCTTCCAAGTCCTATGTGTTCAACGGGGACTTCGTAGACAGAGGCAAACAGTCCCTCGAGATTCTCATCGTCCTGTTTACCTTCCTCTTGATCTATCCAAAAGAGGTTCATCTCAACCGTGGGAACCACGAGGACCACATGGTCAACTTACGGTACGGGTTCTGCGTGGGGCTGATTGCGATGTCAAGGGTGTCACTGTGAAATCCCACTGAACTTCCTTTCTCCTGTTCCTTTAGCTATGGTTTTGCCAAGGAAGTAATGCAGAAATACAAGGTAGGCATACGTTTGTGTCTCCTTTACCACGTGAGACGTGGACTTTAAAGGCTTGATGCTCCATCTTTTCTTTCTGACGTGTCCTCCTAGGTGCACGGAAAGAAAATCTTGAAGATGATTCAGAATGTCTTCTGCTGGCTGCCCCTGGCCACCCTGATTGATCAGAAAGTTCTCATCATACACGGGGGCATCTCTGACACCACTGACCTGGACATGCTTGAGAAAATTCAAAGGAACAAAGTAGGTTTTATTTCCTAGATATTGCAAGAGACAGCAGTGCTGCTGATTTGTGGCGAGCAGCTTATTTCTACATGTCAACTTCGCTGTTGATGAGACAAATCTAAAGGATGGTCTTCCTAGACAAACTGTGTTTCGGTACAGGCTTGGAGTGGATGGCTTTGGTTTAATAGTGCCTGTGTAGGATGTGCTTCTGGAAGATGTGCTTCAGGGAAGTGGTGGATAATAGCACGGGTAAATAGCTGTGCTGGTGCTGACTGTAAAAACACAGTGATGATGAGGCTTTGTCCCACAGTTTTTTAGCCTGTTTTTCACCCTAGATTTCCAGAAGGATTTTCATAAGTCATTTCACTTGCCTCCGCCTCACTTTCTAGTTGAGAAATACTACGTCCCTTCTCCAAATGTAACGACAAGCGCTCACATTAGTCATTGGTCCTTCTCTCATTCTGCCGCCTAGTTCCCATTGCCGATTAAATCTATGTACTCTACCTTTTGTGAAATGTCTGAGCAGCAGCAAGTCGATGAAGAAGAGAGAGCTCTGTAGTCAGGATGGATGTGGGGCCCCAGCTGTAGACCAAGAACAGCACGCCCGAGAGGACAGCACTAGTAATATCCCACAATTAATTGGCGTTTGATGGCAGCAAAGGGATTTGAGGCTCGGAGGTTTGTCACTTGACAGTCTGCCAATGGAAGATGTTAGAGCTGGAGATGTAGGTTTCCAAGCGGTGTGATCATCTCTCTTTTCTCTCTTACCTCTTTCAGTTTATTTCTGTATTAAGAGGGAAGAAAAGAAAGGAGTCGAATAGAAATGTGGAAATACAGGAAATAAACGGGGAGAGCAAAGTAGAGGCTGACTCAGCAGGGAACGAGGCAGCCCCCAGTTTATCTCTGGAGCCCCGGCCGGCCCAGGCTCCCAGCACGGCCAACAGGCTGGAGTTCTCCAGGTGGGTCCGGCAGACGGTGCAGGAGCAAATTGAGTGGTGCCGCCGGCTGGTGGACATCAGCGAGTCGGAGGAGGAGGAGCTCACCTATTCCAGTGTGGTCTCCTTGACGGATTTGGATGGGCCGTGCTGGACTTGCCAGGAGGAGTGGAAGCAGGTGAGTAGTCTACGTGGGGCCCCGAGCTCGGTGGGCTGTGGGTGCCTCTGCAGGTTTGTTCTCTGTTTGTACTGAGGAATCTCAGTACAAAATATGCAGGCCAGTGCACAGACCTCTCTGCAAAGAGGTTTTTGCTGCTTCATATAGTGGAGTTAAGGAGCAACTCAGTGTTGAAGTGCCAGTGGGCAGGCTAATGGGGTTTGTGCTGTTTTGTGCCAACTGCTCTGTACCCCGAGAGAGCCCGGCGCTGATCGTTCATGGAAGGACTGTACTGTGAGTACGTGATCTCTGCTGCTTGGGGATGCTTCGTTAGATACCGGCACTACGTGCAGCCCATCCTGTGGCACAGTTCCCTAGCAACTGAAGAGCTGTGCACGACAGTCACGTAGAAGAACACAGGCCGTGTGCAAGACTGGTGCTAGCTGCTGTTCTCCTGGCACCTTTCTCCTACCTGTGCGAGTCAGGCTCTTGACTGGGCTTTCAGCTTTCTGCGCTAAAGGCTCTGTCCCAGTGTTTCCCCTAGCACAGCACTCATCTGCTGTTGTATAAATAAAACTGTTGCTCAGGCACAGAGTGGGGCAACAGGTTTTCTTGGTTCACTGCAGGGGAGAGAAATAACAGACAAGACTGATTGTAGAGCTCAGTGGTTATATCGTTATTGTTCACGTGGGGTATCTGAAGTCAGCTCTGGAGGTAATGAAGAAGCACGTCATTTGCTGACGAGTGAGTTGCGAGTGAGGTACCAAGAGCAGACTGAAGTTACGGTTTTAGCTGGGCTGCTCTGCAAGTAGAGTGCTGGGCAGGCCAGAGCCTGGGAACTCGGTTTCCTGTTTGTGTTAGACCAGTCTGTCTGTAAGCCCCTTCTATACGCTCGGAAACCATCGTTACTTCATGTTACAGATGATATCCCGGCATTGCACGCCTTATCAGCATAAAGCTATATATTGAGGTCAGGGTTAAAGAGATTAAACTTTAATCCAAACAGTGGTTACTGAGTCAGCACATACTTAGATTTCTGGAGGCTGTGGAATGTCCTGGCTAGACAGCAAAGGAGTTTAATACTAAGCCTGCTCATGGCCTCAGGATCTGCTGGGTGTTCTTGCCCTGGGACCTGTGTTTTGGGATGGAGGAGGACAGGCAAGGCTCTTTGAAATCTCAGATCCAGCCAAGGGAAAGCTTCTGTCAGACCTGATTTATGGACACTCCTCTTCCCCCAGGCACTTTGGGTGTGCCTGTAGCTCCAGGCCAACAATATTGTCACCTCTGTGGTGGACCGGGTCTGTGACAGTCCTGCAGAGCAGTATGGTGGTTCAGCTGGGATGCAGGAAACGTCTCTGTTACCAGGCACTATGGTAATAGCGCAGCAGCCCAGGGAGGGATTCAGAGGTAGAGCTGAATTTGCTTAGTAAACTTTGATGGGTGGTATCTGCTGGGTACACTTTATTCGCTGAACTTTTCCAATCCTTTCAGATTTTAGACATTCTCTGGAGTGACCCCATGCCTCAGGAGGGCTGCAGAGCAAATACGGTGCGAGGTGGTGGCTGCTACTTTGGGCCTGACGTGACAGGGAAGATCCTCGAGAAGTACAACTTGCAGTTCCTCATCCGCTCCCACGAGTGCAAGCAGGAGGGCTACGAGTTCTGTCACAACCGGAAGGTCGGTGAGGGAGATGGCGTGAAGGATACTTGGGTTTCCATCTTGCCATGGTGGGGTTTCCGGGATGGCTTGTCTCAGCTCTGCATTCCTTTCAGTGGCGCTTTGTTAAGTACATGCAAAATCCTTGAACAGCCTTATTGTTATAAGTTACCAAAGTGCGCTCCCAGCTGAGGTCCTAGGTCAGGACAGTCTGGAGCCACCTACTCTGGTGGGGGCATCTGTTGTGCAGGCAAAGCACATCCTTGCGTGTGGTAGCTGAGAAAAGGCCTGAACCCATTGTGCCATTGCCCCCCCCTTAATGCAGCTGTTTCTGAAGATGATGTACAAAAGGGGTTACTAAGCTGCTGCAGCAAAGTTTTGCTCTCAGAAGCTTCAGGGTCACTTCAGTGACTTCAACAGGGGCACGTTTGACTCTGCTCAGTGCAGCGGAGAGTGGAAGTTTGTCAGGAGAGTACAGTGAAATCGCAGAAGCCCAGCGCGTTGCCAGATCCACGTGAGACCGGTGCCACCCTCGAGGAACTTGCACTCGTAAGGCTTCCAGGCCAGCTGCCACCTTGCTCGCTCTTTTCCACGTAAATCATGTTGCTTTCACAATCTTGTTGACTGCAGATGCGATCGGTGGTGGTGTTTTCACTGATACACGTCTATATAATAGAGGATGTATGTACTGACAGTAAATGCCTCTCTTTTTGTCGGGGTTAGGTGCTGACCATATTTTCGGCCTCAAACTACTATGAGATTGGCAGCAACAGGGGAGCCTATGTGAAGCTGGGACCGGACCTCGTCCCCCATTTTGTTCAGTACCAAGCCAACAAGACGGCCCATACTCTCACTATGACCCAAAGGCAAGGCTTTATACTTGCTCTGTATCCACCAAGTCAAAATGCTGAAAGGGAAAACTTTGGGAGCTTTGAGAAGGTTTGACTCCAGAGCTGAACTTAAACAGCTTCATTTACTAAATAACAGCGCTAGAGGAGGATTCAGGCTTTGTGCAGAACTTACTGAGGGAAGCTCACGGGTTGAGTAGGGAGCGTTACAAGATCAGAAGGGGACTCTTTTTTTACAGACTGCTGATTTTCCAGCTTCTCTTTTCAATGTCAAGCTTTAACTTTTGACCCTTGCCGAGGTTCCCTTCTGCTTTGTTACTTCACAAATTGATGCAGGGATTCACAGCATCAGCTGCACGGAACTGTGCTCCAGGTGTGCAGCGTCTTGTCACGAGCGTTGCGGTGCAGCTGTAGCCGTGCAGAGCAGTTGTTCGAGGGTCTGGGCAATCCATGGACAGGCCAGACAACTGGGAAGGCGCAGCTTCTCTTGAGCTTTGTGGCGAGTCCTTAATGTGCTTCTCTCTTTTCCGCATCCTCCAGAATCAGCAGAGTGGAGGAGTCAGCCTTTCGAGCTTTGCGGGAAAAGCTCTTTGCTCACACCTCAGCCCTCATCAGCACGTTCAAGGCCTACGATAAGGACAATACGGGTAAATCTGAGCCAAGGGACACTCAGGTTAATTCCCTCGTAGGACAGGGTTGAAGTGTGGCTGGTTGGGAGCCTCCTCACTGACAGTTGTCAGTGACTGTCACAGGAGAGGCTGTGTCACACCTTGCCAGAGCATTGGTCCCATTTGTGTTATTCAGCGTCTCTGTTGGGAACCTGTTGATGCCTCAGAGTGGTATTATAATGAGGGGGTGTCGGAGAAGCAAGAGGTGATTAGCCTCATGTGTAGCAATTTAGGCTTGGTACCAGGAGAACCCTTTGGAACAGGAGTATCGATGAAGCATTGGAAAAGATGACGTGGAACATGTCTGTCATGTGTCACTTGGGAAGGGCTGGGTGGTCTCTAGAGCCCCTTCATCCCTGGTGTCTAAAATCACCGAGAAGAGGAAGGCGAGGGACGTCCTCTGTGGCAGCTGCCTCTGTCAGAGCCTTAAGGAGAAGGAGCTGAGAGTTGGTAATTCTCTCGCTACCAGGAGTGCTCTGCTGGTGCAGCGACCAAGACATGTTGCTGAGCTCTGTCCGTTTGTGGGCTGGAGGAGAAAAGGGACACAGAAGTTGGAAGAACTGTTTTCTTGCTTTCTTCCCTGGCAGCAAAATTGTTCGCTAAAGTCCAGTTCAGCTGTTAGAGCAGCTGCTAAACTAGGGGCTTGTCTGTGTTCCTGGATCGCTGAGGAAGTGCTAGTGCAGAAGCAGGGTGACCCTGGCGGTAGGCTACAAATTTATAATGACACATCCACAGTTCCTGTCTTCCCGTTGTTCCGATGTTTGCAGCCCCACGGTTCTGTTTTCTTGCAATGACCAAAAGCTTGCTGAGGCTGGGGGCGAGCAGCGAGTGCACTTGTGCCTGCAGTGGCTGATGTCTGTATGGCCGTGTAGGGTTTTTTCCTGTACCAAAGTGCTGAAGTGTGCCATGGAGAAAGGACACTGTTGCTGTCACCAGCATGGTAGACCGGGTATGCGTACTGCTCTAGGCTTTTAACTTTGCCTTCACGTGCTTTCAGGTGCCCGTCTCTCAGAAGCTCTCCATGGCTCTCCCTTTTCTTCACAGGAAGGATCACGCTGAGCAACTGGGCGACAGCAGTGGAGTCAGTCCTGAACCTGGGCTTGCCCTGGCGAATGCTGAGACCGCAGCTGGTGCGCAGCACGGCGGACGGCATGCTGGAGTACAAGTCGTGGCTCGACGACTTGGCCATGGAGCAGCGGAGTCAAGAGGTGAGGACTCACCCCCTTCCCTCAAAGCATGATGTAAAGCAACTCACAAGATCCCCAGCACATGGAACCAAGTATGGTACGAAAGGAGAGCAATGGTTCCGGTTGCTGTGTAACCCAAAATGAATTCAAGTGGTCCAGAAACGTTCAGTCCATTGTAAACATAGATGATGCATGTGCAACCAAAGCCTGGAGGTAGTTTTGGATGCAGGCTTTTAAGTAGGAAAACTCTATTCCATTCTCTGAGTCGCAGTTTCTTAGTTACACCCAGCAAAACCAACTCTGCAGTGTTTAAAAAATGTAGCCCAAGTCACTGTCTTCTCTTTTAGCCGGGAAAAGCTGGAAGCGATAGGTTGCTGAAGTGCTATAATGCAGATTTGCACAGAGGGTCCAGTCATCACAACCCTGTTTCATAAGCCACACATGATGCAAAGTGTATTGCTGGCAATCTCCTGAGAGCAGTAAACGTTGTTATTTATTATGGGAAGGTCTGCAGTAAAGCAGGAAGCTGTCAGAGGAAGGGTAGCAGGAGTATGACCATGTTGTTTTTCAGCACATCCAGTCGAGCTTGCTGGAAGTCATTTATCGAAACAGATCCAACTTGGAGACCATATTCAGGATCATAGACAGAGATCATTCAGGTAAGCAGGTGCGCGGGGAGCGTCAGTCACTGCGTTGTATTCCATTCTACTTTTGGGCTCCCTGTAGTATGTACAAAAGCATTTTAAGGGTTTAAAGTTTGGGTCTTTGTCCTCCCTCAGTTGGGGTTATCGCCTCAAGAGCTTCTGAAATGTCATTGCAAGTTTCCACAAACGTGATGCATTTTGAAGGACTGTGTGCAGTCCAGGTAGAGAACAGCAGAACAAAAATTGTGATCACAGCAATGACAGTAATGCACCGTACTCGGGATCTTGAGCATTACCTGCTTTCAAGCAGTCATCTCCACCAAATTACTTTGGGAAAGAGAAAATACAAGTCTCTGCCTTCTTTTGTTCTCCCAAATTGTATTATGTCTCTTTCCTGCTGTATTTTAGGCAGTGTTCTGCATGTGAAATTAAGATTACGAGTGATTCCTTTCCTTCCTCTAGGGTATGTAGGCAGCAGGGGTGGGATGAGAGATCAAATGTGAGCAGGGGTCCCTCCTTGCACGCTGAGCGGGGACTGACTGGCAGCAGTGCCCGTGGTGACCTTGCGCCTGAGGTGGCTGTGCCTTCCTGTTCCACAGGCCTCATCTCGTTTGAGGAATTCCACCAAACCTGGAAGCTGTTCAGCTCCCACATGAACATTGAACTCACGGATGATGGGATCAACGACTTAGTTCGCAGCATTGATTTCAATAAGGATGGAAATATCGACTTCAATGAGTTCCTAGAGGCCTTTCGCCTTGTCAAACAGTCACAGTAGTGAGAACCTGGTGCGGGTTGCCACGTCCAATGCCTTGACTGTCTGCGAAGCCAGGAGGACTGCTTCCTACCGCTCCGCAGGGCGTGCCGGCAGATGCGAAGCAGGGGAAGGGAAGGCAGGTACCTGTAGCGCTTATTGGTTGAATACAGTGACTGCCGTAGCTAACAGCTGTGACCCATTTGGGGAAGGTCAAGGGTAAAACAGATAAGCTGCACTTCAGTTCTGAACATTTTTTTAAAAGGAGCTGTGTTTTAAGTAGAAATTTCTGCTCGAAGGGAAGATGCAACTTAATTTATCTTGTCCGTGCATGCGATGAAACAGTACAGTCTATTCATGTGTAGTAAAGTGGAAGTAAAGGTATTCCTTGTAGGCAGTGTTTTAACCAGGTAGCAACTGCTCCAGCCCTGCTTTCCTTTTAATAAAGATTTTTTCCTAGATTGCTGGTTCTGGCCTTTTCTAGTTTGCCAACTCTGTTAGCAGACGTGCTGTTTCAGTGATAATACCTTATTTCCCTCTGTTGTTTCTTTGCTGTGGTAAGTTTGAAGCTAATCAATATGTGCAGTGGACCATCGCTTGGAAAAAACTGTCTCAAACATGCAAAACTGTCTCTAGCAGGGGGACTCTTGAGCAATCTATTGCGAGCAGTTCTTTTTCAAAGGTCGGGGTAGTAGAGCAAGTAGCCCACTGCTAGAGTACCTGCACTGCATGTTCAAGGTATTTTCAAAGCATGGTACGATTGCAACTTAAAAAGGTGTGTGTGGTAAAGCACGTGCAAAGAAAAAAACGCACGTATTTGTCTCCAACGTGCAGCATAGTCACTCTAGCAGGGACCCTATGATAAAAAGTTTCACTTAGACTGCTACCCTGGCCCTTGAAAAGGAGAATTCTAGTCTCATTTGATTTCTCAGCAGAGCCCCTGCTAGAGCCTGTATTGCACATTTGAGATACATTATGAATTGGAACCATGCTTCCCTAAATAAACTCATCCTTTTCCCCCTTAATTACAGTTCCACCCATGCTTTTTTCACCTGTAATGGAACCAATGCACAATAGAGGCTGTCGCATGCTGAAGCTGTATTTCTATTTTTCTATCTTTCAGATTTTATGAATGGAATTTTTTTTTTGGTGGCTAATGAGCAAAATGCTTCTCTCCCTCCTATGTTTTGAGTTGTTCTGCTGTACAAACGACTACTGCAGAGAATAATGTATCTTAGTTTCAGTTATTTTCAGTGATGCCTGCGCTGAGAGAAAAAGGCAACTTGGGGGGAAAAAAAAAAGTTGTCGCCCCCCTGCATGTATTAGCCACCTGCGCGGTAGTACCTGGTACCAGATGGGATCTAAGGACGTGACCTTTTACTTGACTTTGGGCACTGAGGCTGCGAAGCAGCGCTGTGGCAGTGGGTTTGAGAGCCTGTTACCTGCAGTGCCTGGAGGAGAGTGAAGTGCATTAACCTGGAGTTGTTAGGAGTTTCACTGCTTTGCTGATGGAGCTGAGAAGGAGCCAACACCATGCACAAGTTATTACAAAGTCAGACGGAATTTATTACTCTCTGGCAATTAAAAAAAGGCAGAAGACAACGTCTAGACAGTCTGTTGATATCTGAGGGGCAGCAAAGCTTTGTATAACTCACACATGTAACGTGATACAAACATAACCTTTAGATCCTTGCAGTCCAAAGGAAGGACAGAAACTGAAAACATCAACTTCCTGCAGATTGCCCCAGTAAACTACTGGTTTTGCAGTGTCCGACATAGTTACAGCAACATACACATCCGTATTGATATAAATTGGCTGTTTACACCATGATGTTACTTGATTGTTCTGACAAAAACATGGAAGTGGGCTAAGCTTTCCACAAATAAAGTCACAAGTGGAACAATTCCCTTAGCACTGCATTTCTAGGACAATGCTGTTGTAAAAAAAGGAAAGAAAAAAAATGTACAATAGTACATATAGTTTTATAGTAAAACAGTATCTGAACAGATTCAGTTTTCCTTCTTTTATTAAAGCATATACAGCTTTATAAAATATAAACCTTCCAAAGGTCAAGTTCAAAAGCTTAGAAGAGGCTTTGCTAATTCTAAAGGTAACAGCCAAAATACCATTGTTCCTAGAAGATATGTGTTTTATTTTACCTCAACAGTTTTAGCCTTGGAAGGTGAACCATGAACTTGAGTAACATGTTTCATGTAAGCCCAGCAGCATCCACCACGTCAACTGAAGACTCCTCCTCTGATGGGAATGCTCTCGTTCAGCCCGTGTTCTACAAGTTTGATGTCCTCCAAGTCATCCTTTATAATGCTTATTAGGTGACTCAGGCCCTCTTGCTGCTGCTTCAGATGCTGCAGATGATGATAGATAGATAGTTTAAAAACCAGCATGAGCATAGTTCAACTTCACAGATTTTTTTCGGTAATATTTCTCAAAGGTGCCCTGTCTTGTGGCCTTGTCACAGTGAGAACCCTGGCGTAATTTCTTTGGAGTAAGGTAAACCAGCGTTTTCTGCACTAATAGCCCAGCGTGGCCTTGTACAACACCTTGACCCACTCTCACTGACAACATATAAAAAGAATTTAATCATTAAACAAATACAAAAAATCTGACATTCTAGGTACATCTCCAAAGTTAGTGCGTAGCTGGCTTAAATTATGAAGTTCAGAGAGTATCCTAGGATTCCACGCAGTCATACTTACTTGCTTGATTTCCCTTAAGAGGTCTGCATCTATGTAATAGCGCTCCTCAGCCCGCACTGCTCCAAAGTGGTTTTGCATCCTGATTTGGGACATGAGCTCATTCAGTCTGCCCTGGGAAGAGAAAGAGGCTTAAATCAAATGAACTCATTTAGATGTGTCAGAGCTCCAGCATGTACCGCTCCTCGAGTCACTAGGGCAAGAAGCATTGCTGCTCATTCCATTTTAAGTGGGGTTTTTTTTGTTTGTTTGTTTGTTTAAGAAAGATATGCAAAGGGCAAGCAACTCCAAAGTTTCGAAGAGCTTGAAAATACTTGAATATCTTTCAGTCACACAGCAAAGAGCATGATGCTACAACCTAGTAACGCTGCCACACTTTTCGGAAAGCTTTCCTCCACAAATTATACATGCACGGCTTGGAAATCTTACATTCTTTTGCGAGGAAAAACCAGAGTTGTTAGCAAAGCTCTATTAACTACTCACCTTGAACTGCGTAGGTGCGTTAAGTTCACACTGAATTGTATCTAACTGTACACGAAGCTGCTCTTCGTCTGCTTGAATGGCATAACCGCTTTTCCTTTGGATCTCCTGCTTTATTAACACCTACAAAAGGAGCCGTTGAGGTTCATTAGAGAAGACTTTGCCCATCTCTTTCCCCGCTAGCTCCTCCTCATGTCCTTTTGCCCTTCCTCCAGCATGTCTCTCAGCAGATTGGTTCTGTTGTCTAGTCTGCTGCTCTGAGACCCCAGGGCAGTCCCACAGCCTCTGATTAAGTGAGAGAAAAGGTTCCCAAAGCAGGTAAGACATGCTGTGCACCCAAAGCTTTCCCTGACAGCTCTGCCTGTTACTTAAAGCAATGCCACTTAGACCCAGCCAGAATTTCATTTTCAACATTGGCCATGCACAAGATTGCACAGGTCATCCTGCCTACTCTCAGTTTCCTTCTGGCACTAGATTGCGTGTCTGAAGGAGTTATTTAGACTATCCATGTTACCTGTAATGTTCTGTGAGAAAGCGCCATCAGTTTTCTTTTGTACTGTGCAATTTTTGCCATAGTTGTTGTTTGATTTTTCTGCAGCTCACTGATATCTTCGGATATTATCTGCAGAGGAGACAGAGTCAGTTGGAAGTCAGTCATAAGAGTTTCTGATAACAGAACACGTTAGTCCTGATTTGAAACCTGGGATTTCAGAACAGTACTCGGTCCAGCAACTAGCGTCCTCGCCAAAGACGCTTCCAGAAAGCTTTTTGCTAGACCTCTACTGTTTTGGTTTCTATTTATTTTCATATCCGACTGGGATTTTCAGATGGCATCAGAAAACTGAGTGCCCAAATTAAGAGTCTGTGCCAGTGCAACTTCATTAAGCTGGTTTGCATTAGCTTATAACAACATAGCAGGCTTGAACCTGAAAAAAAATGAAAGTCAAAATGCACTGCTCAGTTTTTGGCCAAAATATATAATTAAGGCATATATTAAGAAATATTGATAAAGAAAGAGTCACAGCCTCATGCACATATAGTTCCAGTTTCAGTTTTCAACACACAGGAGGCACAGGGGAGGAGGCTCATTTAATAGCACATCCTTTTGTCAACAGCAAGCAGTCACGATAAAGGTGAGAAACCTTACATCTAATCGCGTTTGATGCTGTTTGGTCATCTGATCTTGGACCTTCAATCTTCTCAGCAGCTCCTTGAAACCCACCATTGGCACAGGAATAAGCCTACAAGAACACAAATACTACTTACAACACATTTTTATATTAGACACGTGGTATGGACTAATAATTATGAATATAATCTAAAGTTACAGATGATCCTGGCCTATTATAAATTAAGATAATACATAAACATATCTTCTTTTGCTAAGTTCTACAGTCCTCACTATTCCTAACAACCTGTTCCTTTTTCATAAAGAAATCAGCCTAAGTTATCTGTAACCACTGGAGGGTACAAGGGTACACCACTTTCAGCTGCATGAATAAAGAAAGAGAAAAAAACATAGTGGTTGCAAACAAACAAAAAAATCACAATAACTAGTCCATACAATGGAGGACACCACAACTCAAACTAATGCAAGTAAGGCTCTTTATCCTGACAACCCTTAAGAGCCTAACAGGTAAAGGGATTAGACAGGCATTTCTAGTAATCCTCACTGCTTCAAATGAGATCAGCACTTGACAAAATTATTCTCTAACAAGTTTCCTACAAGTTACCTGAAGGGTACTACACAACACTACATATTGCTCCCCTTTCCAAGTCTGTATGTAATACTCAGATAGACTATTAGACTTACTTGTCAGGATCAGGATTATCAACTTTGGCTTGTTCCCATATAATAGGATCAACACCTTAAAAAAAACAACCAAACAAGTTTTTAG